ATTAATTGTTTACTGTGTAAATTATTTTGTACTAATAAACTTCGATGATGCCTTTTATATTAATCCGAATATTGCACGGCGGGCTTTCACCAGAATTCACTTCCCTTTTTTCAACAGCTCTGATATTTTAAAAGCTTTTCAAATCATAAACTGGTTATCAGGTTTTTTAATAAATTTGAGGTTTCGAGCATCACTAAAGACACAGGAACAAGAGACATAACGTACGGTGCCAAATATTTCATGCATTATTTGAACGACATCAGTAAATACTGTAGATAGATTCTATTATTATTCCGGGAATTTTGGATTGGGCCTAAATTTTTACGGTTATTCGGTATTAGCGCTAGTTGGGATTTTCATCTAAAAATTTAAGAGCGAGTAAAGACCGATTTTTTTATGACTTCAGTAAGAAACTACTTCAATCTCCGTTATGTAATAGAGGCCGTTTTAATAAAAGTTGTGGAAATTTAAAAAAAATGTTGCCTCCCAAAATACTACTGATGGCACCATGAAAGAGTGAACTGCTACAAAGGTTTTACTACGCAGAGATAGTAACATTCTTGCAACACGAGGTATCTGATTTGATATCTACAGTTTAACTGAGCATGGCTGCTTACATTTACATCCACCATAGCCGAACAGACGCCCCCACTTTAACCCAGGTTATACTGCTGGTTTAAAAAAGACCTAAAGTAATTTATTTCTATTTTTTTATGAAATAGTAAAATGAGTATAAGTTAATGAAAAAGCAATAACCAAATAACCTACGTATTTATAATATGGACACGAATGATAGTTCCAGTAAAATTTAAAAAAATAAGCTTGACACGTTTGGGGGATTGGACACGTTTGGGCGTTTATACAAATGACACGCTTTAGCGCTCTTTTACAACTAGACATGTTTTGCAGTTCAGTGACGTCGATGTGGACACGTTTGGGGGAATCAGACACGTTTGGGGGGAAGGACACGTTTCTGAGTGTTACATATATATTGAAGTATTGTGTTATAAGTAATACCAAATGAATATTCTGTACAAAATTAAGCCAAATAATACTTAAGGTGGTACCAAACACCTTGGCTAGAATGAATTTGGCTTTTTTAATTTTCATAAAATTTTGACACAATATTTACTTTGACCCTTTGACAAATTATAAAAATTTCAAAAAACTTGAACCACACACTTTCTCGGAAAAAATTCATTGAATATATAGCAGTTTGACAAACACTTATTTTGATCATTGATAAGCTTAATATTTCCTTAACAATAGAACGTGATTTAAACGTTTAGCTGGTTTTTTGAAGAGTTATCTCCCTGTAGTGTTATGTACCACCTTAATTACTTCATTAATTACACTAAAGACACCTGTTTCGGTTACACATATAGGCTGCATCATAATAGCTGATATTACATAATATATTTCAAATACATGTATTAATGATTCTAAAAGATTATGTTAGATCTAAACAATGCTGTGATTCCTTTGTTTCCATCAAGCTAAAAGTTTATGGTAAAGCTAAAGAAAGTTTTAATATCCTACATCTTCTGTAGAACATACTCTTCCTTTACATTGCAGAGTATCATCATAAGACTGATAGGCTTTGTGATTATCGTCTTATATCTCTTAACATATTCAAAGTGTTGTTAATGAATCAGATAATTCTTCTAATGGAACAAAATATTTATCTTTAACTGTTACAAATAAATTATGTAATGCCTGTTGTCTGTTAAAAATATCATCAAGATGATAATGACATAAAAATCTAAGACAGTACGACAGAACAACTGGTGGTATCAAAATACTTCGCTCTTCCACCTCAAGCTGTAGTTCTTCTGGTATTACTAATGAACGTCTCAAATAATTTACACTACATATAGTTGCTGATTTTATTCTTTCATTAAATGTAATTTTGGAATTAAGATTTTGTCTGTAACTATTCATTTCTTCTTCATCATACATAACACATCCCAAGTGCACCATATCATGACTACATGTTGATAGAAAATACTCGGTCAGTCTAAATGTTATATTACACTGACCTGTCACATAATAATACGACGCGTACAACAACCAACCCGACATAGCATCTGTCTCAATACCGTCTTGTAAATGTCTATGATAAAGCTTTTGTATGTTGTAAGTTTTACTTATTGTACTTGGTGGTGGTAGATATTTAGCTGCATATTCACTTATTATGCCATAATAATATTTACACGCAGCAATGATAAATGTGGACGATTCAAACATTTGGAAAGATTCAGAAAATTGCAGTAACTTATAACAATGAGAAATGTTTGTTGCGGAGTCTGGTGATCCACAAGTCTTGTACAAAAAGAAGTCTGACATTATGAACGAAGTTTCACTCTTTGTTCTAACAAACATCGATTTCCAATCTTAGTCGGAAATAAATTATTTATCAATCCATCAATTCTACCACAATTTATACTATGCAGTACACTCTGAAGTTTGTTATTGTTACTTTGGTCAACTATTCCTTTGAGCATGTTATGTTTAGGTACAATGTAGTTCGGACAGTAACAGTTGTGTACCCATAATATTATTTTATCAAGACAAAGAGAAAAACAATAAAACAATCTAACTATTTGAAAAGTTTTAATATTCACTTCATCTGAGACCCAGAATAAAGCGGTCTTCAGATAATAAGAACATAATAAATCTTAGACATCAACATTTGTATAAATGATATGCCGTAATGTTAATTTTAGAAGATCGTTACATAAGAGTTGAGTGAAATTAAATGAATGTACAAGTTGCTTTTCTGCCATAGAGAAAGACAATCTCCATAATAAACGACTTTCTGACATATTCTTGGGTCCTATAGGTACTAAAAGACATCCATATGTTTCAATCATGTCAATTACAAAATGTCGATAACGCCTTGTCCAAGGAATTGCACTGTAAGATCGTTTTTTACTTCAGAGGCAAACTGTAAAATCGAGATTCTGATCTTTATTTGATAAACAGGGGCCGTGTGAATATAGTTGATAACCTGCAAAATGTTGTTTTATTTTATGAAGAAATGCTTTCACTGATAAATATAAACCATTTGTAATACTTTCACAGCATTCAGAGGTGTCGAACTTAGATTCTTCGTCGTCTACTGCGATCAATCTAAGTCTTGTAAATTCTGGATGATCGTTATCTGACTCAATAACCAGTGTAGTTTTTTGTATTGGGTGTTTGATGTTCTGTACATTTTGAAATGCGTCTATGTTATTGAAGAGGAACATTAAATCTATGTCACTGCCTAGTAAATCCAGTCCATCTGCCAAACTTCCACTTGATATGTGTGTCTTATCATGCAGAAACAAATTCTCCATCACATCATTTATGATAGATATACGTTGTCTGTTGCGTATATCTATTTCAGTACCAACTGTATAAACTAAGTGTTCGTATAAGTATTCTTCCCTGAAATCATTTCTTGGCCAGAACATAGTATCTTTAAAATATGAATGTATATCATTTATGTTTATTAAAATCTAAAATCACATCTTCAAAATCGAAAATTTTCAAGATTAACATGCATTCCTTAGTGAAATGTGCATCTTTTGTATATGTAATTGCTTCATTTTTGTTGAATGTTTCGTACTGTAAATTGATGTTTCGAGAATAATTGACGATTAACAGATTATTGGTTCAAGTTGACTGTTAAGGTACACTAGAGGAACTGCGTGGTGCTTATCGAAGTGAAATTATATACATTTTATTATGCTTTTAGAAACACACATATTGAACAAATTCATTAGACTATAGTTGACACCAGTTTTATATACACTTTACTACTTTGATCACAACAATTTCATGTTGCTTCATTTTTGACTTATATACATTTAATTTCATTTTGACATCGGTCTGATATCCTTTAACTCTAATCCAGAAAGCTGACTTTAAACATTGTTTAACTGGTGATGTCTGACTTCAAACATTTTATATGAATAAAAAAAGTAGATTATCAAATGTTCAAATCTCGTGAATACATTTTAAGAGTACAAATAAAGTTGAAAAAATGAGTTTGGGGACTTATATGAACTCCAATCCTAACGAGACTGGGTAAGTCAATAGGATAAGCTTGACCTATATGCAATACCTCAATGCAAATCCATATTCAGTAAAGATTTCACACTAAACAATTGTGCACACTTATTGAATTTATAAAGCAGATAACTATTATTTTATTTTTTAAAAGATCCACGACCGCAAAAGACATTTTCTCTAAGACAAAGCCACATCTTTTCATGATAGGTCCGTAACATGCGTTGTATGTCAATTTTAGTCATCTTCATCATAGCCCTCATTAAACTAGAGGTTGGTATATACTGAAAACACTGTCTTTTTCAAAAGACCAAAAGTTACCTTTCAATCTTTTCTTTGTGCGTGTTGTTGGGTTGTTGTTTCATTTGCGAATACGCAAATTCATCGTCTTTTCATATCATTCCTGGGACTTCTTTAATTGAGCTGTTGACACCTGGCTGCCGTTTCATAAAACAATCGTTAGCGTACGTTTGATCGTTAACCAAACGTAACGCTAAAATTCCGTTTCATAAAACAATCGTACTTTGCGACGGTCGTACATTGCGTGCAAATCGCGAACGTTATTAGCGTGTACTTGAACCTATCGCAGATTAATCGCAGCGTCAAAGATGGCCGTCGCCTTATTAATTTTTAGACACAATGAACGCAGGGCACTGCGCAGGGAAAGAGTATTTAGAGATAGAACTAACATTATGGACAATCTGAATGACATAGAAATAATTTCAAGATATCGTTTAGACAGACAAAGTATTTTTGAATTGGTAGATGTGCTTGCCCCTCACTTAGAAAGGCCGACACTGAAAAACTGATATCCATGGCATAAGTCGTTCTTTGGTTAGCAGAATTATATCATCTGTTACACTTTCTCTTGTTACAACCCTTCTACACAAAATAAAATTCCCTGTTGACCAACCTTCTTTGAGAGAAATAAAGCATGACTTTTATACAATGTCTGGTATGCCGAATGTTGTTGGTGCAGTTGACGGTACGTTGATACCAATAATTAGACCGAGTGAGGACGAGCAGATTTTTGTATGTAGGAAAAATTTTCACAGCTTGAATGTGCAAGCCATTTGTGATGCCAAAATGAAGTAAGTGTACAAGTCCTGTGCTTTTATATAAAATAAACTCTTCCACAAATATCTCCTTTATTATATGGAGACTTAGATTAATAAAGGCTTGTAAATTAAAATGTATCTTCCGTCAGATAAACATAAGACGATTATGTCTTTCAGCAATAAAATACTTTCTTTCTTCTAGTAGACGACACTGAGAGTGCTATGTACTTAAATGGTGAATTACTAGTATATAAAAAAAAACAACAAATATGTCTGGACTCATTTCATATCAAGTTATGATTAAAAAAACGTTTACCAACGATTTCGATCCATTATTTACTGTTGACGCTACATTATGGTGGCTTCTGTCACGTCCGCGTGTTTTATTAGGGAATGTTTGTTTGTCAAACCAAATTTACTCCGGTCAAAATAACATTGAGGTGTAAATAATATATATATGAAAATGATTTTAAAAAATTACGTTTGTTAGGTATTTACAACATATATATAGATATAGGACGATTTGGTATGATTGCCAATGAGACAACTCTCTATCCATGCAGGTCATAATTTGTAAAGGTAAAGCATTATAGGTCAAAGTACTTCCTTAAATACGGAGTCTTGACTCGCAGCGAATAGTAAGCTGTAAAGGGCCATGAATAAAGAGACTGCATAGATATGCTACTAACCAAAATAGTAGTTTGCGATATGAACAGGCATATTTCTAAAACTTCAGCAGTTTAATAATGATTTAAAACAAGAATGTGTCCATAGTACATGTTTGCCCCACTCGCACTATCATTTTCTATGTTCAGTGGACTATAAAGTAAAATTGTGGAAAAATCTAATTTGGTAATTAAATTAGAAATATCATATCATAAGGAACATGTGTTTTAAGTTGATTGGACTTCAACTTCATCAAAAACTACCTTAACTTAAAACTTCAACCTGAAACGGGACAGACGGACGAACGAACTGACGAACGGACGCTCAGACCAGAAAACATTACGCCCCTCTACTATCGCAGGTGGGGCATAAAAAATAAAACAGAATAATTAATTGATCTTGGCTGCTTACTTATACCTCTTAAATAAATAATACCCTGCAATTTCAATCGGTATAATTCTAGAATTTAAGAGTTGACAAAGGTGAAGAAATAGCAACAGAGACTGCGTAGAAATACGAAATATAACCCAAATGAAAAGCACTGAGTGAATTAGATTTAGACCTTTTCACTGATCCAATTTGGTGCCAAACTTTTTACTCTTCATTATTGCCATAAATAAATGTCACAGGCGTAAAGTAAAACAGTATTAATCAATTTATTTAACATAGACATCAAGTTCGTATTGTACGGCGCCTGAAATTGTTTTTAAGCTATCAAATCCCCTTCATAAATTTAAAGAAGTCGTCCAGGTATGAAAAAAAGAGGTTACATTCTCCCATTTGCATAGTCCAATGTATCAGCATACATGTGATTATTATTTTTATACATATACATGTATAACCATTAATAGAATTTTATACCATAAATCAAAAATAATATTCTTATGGGTCTGTATTTGTTTATAAATTTGTGTAGATATCAATATAACAAATAAAGTAGATGTTAGCATCTAAAGGTATCCATATATGGCCTTCAACGATGTGTGTTGTCTCAATCAATAGCAAATAAGAATGGAACACGCCATTCGGTGACCAGACTGTTGTCAAGTTGGAATAAAACACATCAGGTATCCAAAATCCACACGGGCATGTATGTACCCGCCTATTCATACCTCTTTTTCGTCCCAGCCCAGTATTATATGTCTCTGTTTTGCCCAAGTACATGTAGATAATCTCTTAGTTTGATCAACAGGCAAGAGCTAAGTTTGACTATATGCCAATTAATTCTTTAAATCGTAAACTGTAAGATAGTAAATAAACCAATGGTACATAATTATATATTTAAACAAGTCACACATATTGTGATAAACCATTGTTTGTCTACATGCGAGGTTTCGTTTTGGAAAATTTGTCATTTTTAATTACTATCTAAATTTAAAAATCCTGTTATATTTTTTTCATTTCAGTTTCTGTTTTAATCCTTTCACATATCACAATTTTTCTAATGAAATGGTTTCAGCTTCTGTGTTTTCAAATTTACTTTCGTGGTTAATGTACAAGTTAAAAGACGCGGACCTCGTTGGAGACACCTATTGAACAAAGAAATGTCATAACGTTACTTTAGAATGGTCACGTACGTGAGCTTGAAAATTCGTTTGAAACATTGATAGTGCAAAGTTCAATTGTTGATAATTAATCCCCTACCGACGAAGTCGAAGAGGACTTTAGGTTTGCACTCCGTCCTCTGTCTGTCTGTCTGAATGGTCACGTACGTGAGCTTGAAAATTCGTTTGAAACATTGATAGTGCAAAGTTCAATTGTTGATAATTAATCCCCTACCGACGAAGTCGAAGAGGACTTTAGGTTTGCACTCCGTCCGTCTGTCTGTCTGTCTGAATGGTCACGTACGTGAGCTTGAAAGTTCGTTTGAAACATTGATAGTGCAAAGTTCAATTGTTGATAATTAGTCCCCTACCGACGAAGTCGAAGGGGACTTTAGGTTTGCACTCCGTCTGTCTGTCTGTCTGTTTGTCTGTCTGTCTGTCTGTCCATCTGTCAGTCCGGCAAATCAGTTTTCCAGACTTTTTTTTCTTCGTGCTTGAAGATATTGATTTGATATTTGGTTTAATGATTTATCATGACAAGTTACAGGTCAAGTTCAATTTTCACGATTTTAGCTTTTCTCTTTGTTCAGTTAAAGCTCTTTCCCTTGAATTAAATTTTAGATGAAATACTTATAAATAAGTAGATTTCTGTTCAAAGGGAAATAACTCATTTTTTAAAAGACAAAATGACTTTTGGTTTTTTTTCTTTTTGGTAAATGTTTGAAGAATTTAGTGGTAGGTTTGTTTGTCATTCTTGGAGATATTGATTTGATAATAAGTATATAGTTTTATCATGACAAGTTACAGATCAGGTGGAATCTTGTTCCAGTCTGATAATTTTTTGCAGAAATATGGTCTTTGGACATAAAAAATTCACTTAATTAATCAGTTTTCAACAGTTTTTTTCGTCATGCTTGAAGAATTTGACTTGATATTTTTATGTTGTTTACACCATGAAAAGTTATAGATCAAGTTAGAATTTCGTTCCATTACAATGAATTTGTAACAGGTAGGGGACTATGTATTGCCATGCAATAATCACAGAATGCTTGTTATTTCTGACTTTATAAAAATATTTTATTGAAATTAAAACTTCGATAGCAACGAATGTGCTGACAAAATGAAGTTGTATTGTATTGTATTGTATTGGAACGAAACATTTGCCACTGGACATTAGACAAACAAATAAATATCAATCATGTACTGGGACTATTATACTTGGTGTAATAGTCCCAGTCATGTACAAATAGCCATGTACATGTACTGTTTACATAAGCGATGATATTTGTAATAAAATTGAGAATTGAAAATGGGAATGTGTCAAACAGACAACAACCCGACCAAAAAGCAGAAAACAGCCGAAGGCTACCAATGAGTCTTTAATACAGCGAGAAAATCCCGCACCCGGATCGAGGGGTATCATGTTCGTTCACCCTTATTACATGCTCGCCCTGAGTTAGTGAGCCCATAGAGTCCTTTCGCCCTGGATTCATTCTGCTTACTAATATAAAGAAAATAATTATTAATACAGTTATTGAAGTGAAATAAATTTACTCAGATATTAATATGATATAAATGCTCGAAATTCGTGAAAATACATGGAAAGATTCTAAAGTTATTGGCTTGTTTTGGAGCACTGAATTGTTCATAGTAATAGTTATCACTGCTTGTTGTAATAATCATAATTGTCTTCAATGGATTTATTATAAAAAAAACATTTTGTTTTGATAAACATGTACGAATTGTATATCATGAAGAGGATTCATACGTTCAAATACCAATGACAGCTTCATAATGCAGAATTGCTCTTTAAATGAAAAATTCGAGAACAAGCAGGTAGATGTCTGGCTTTTGGGTGATTCAGGGTATCCCCTTAAACCATGGCTGTTAACACCCTCCATAAATCCATCATCAAATGGAGAAGAAAAATACAACAGATGTCATAAAAGTACCAGGAATGTAATTGAGAGAGCCTTTGGACTTCTGAAATCCAGGTTTAGGTATAAAATTGTTAACATGTACATCCTGTGGTACTACTTGTACAAGTAATAAGAAGATATGATGACTTTTTTTACTTATATAAGTATACAAAATCTGAATGTCTAAGGGACATAACTAAGTCAAAAAATAATTTACCTATATATACAAGTTAATAAAAAACACTTGTATAAGTATCCTACAAATTTATTCATATATTAAAGTATATTTATATTTACTTCTTCAAGTAAATAAAAATTACTTGTACAAGTAGTACCCCTGACTGATGTATGGGAAATCTTTACACAGATGATGGTTGTAAGGAACTGCCACAAACAGTATAACAAGTTGATATTTACTAGTATCTAAATTTCATAATTCATTTGAATAAACTTAAAAAGATGTACAAAATTGAGTCAATAATGAACAAATTATATTGGTTTAACTGTAAATTGAGAAATCATTGCAATGTTTTTATTTACAATTTGAAAATTTTTATATGAATTAAACAGGATTTTTCTCAATATTTAAGGAATGACTGTAATATTTCTTCTGTCTTTTCAAATTAACATAAAAAATGTGGTGAACACTGAATAACCCGAAAAGTGTGCACCACATTTTTAATGTTAATTTGAAAAGACAGAAAAAATATTACAGTCATTTCTTATAATTTGATTCTAAATTCCATTTTAAACCTGAGTTAACTATGAAAAAACGTTGCTGACGTCACGGTCACATAACAAAAATTTGTCTATGAGCTGATAAACAAAACAACGTCAGCCGATCAGAAGACGCGTTACATCCAAATTTAATTATTGCAAATTAAGATCGAATTTTAGTCCAAAATAAGAAAATCACAATTATAAATGCACGCAATAATTTCTAAATTTACAGTATTCTCAAAACAGAAACTAAGGGATAATTTATCTTATCATGACACATAATCAGTATGTGCACAGTAAAACACATAGAAGAAAGTAAAGGAATAAAACCATTTCACTTTAATATATTGCAATGCATCAATACAGTTCTTTTATTTTGATTGTCAAGTACATTAATCAATTATCAAAACATGTATTATACATAGACAATAATAGTGCATTGACTTAACAATTAAACGATATAAGGATGAGGCTTAGAAACTGGGAAATGCAAGGCTCTGCCGAGCTTTTTCCTCGTTTCAGACCGAATCCTTATATCGTTGATATGTCAAGTCAATGCACTATTAATGTCTTTATACTGCAATCTAAAAAAAAACATTTTCCATTGTTGTTTTATGTGTTAATGTTATTATTTGATTTAAATATTGGGAAACTTCCCCCTTTTATAAAAAGGCATCATATCATGCAGGTGGAGAAATATACAACACAATGAAATGTACATTACATGTTGAAACCCGCAATCGATGGTGAACAAATTTGTTTGAGAATGAACTAAAATATCAACAATAAGCATAAAACATAATGATTTATAGTTTTTTAAACCAAAAATATTAACAAGTGAAATATGTTTTTTTTTTCTAAAAATTGCAAAAGAAATAAATTTGAGTCGTGGTATACATTGGAATCAAGAACAGGTTGAATAGGTCGTATGAATAATTAATTATAATTTCGGCAATTTCTATTTAAATATTCATGAGGAAAAGTCATATCAGGTCAGTTAATGTATATGACATAGAAATATACGGTCAACGCATTTTGACTGCTCAAATAGAAAGAGTGCAGTATAAAAAATGAATTTAAAGTAGTTAAAATGAATTATTATTTTATCTAAATATAAAGGATGTGAAAAGTTGTGTTGCATAAATAAATGTAAACTAAATTTTATTAGACAAACAGAAAATGTGAGTAAAACCAAAACTATTGTGACTAACGTGTTATAAAATATACAGGTTCATTTGAAAGTGACCATAATATTTTTTTTACATATAAGTACTTTTTACATTCAATTTTTAAGTAAATGATTAATTTATCTTTACAGGTGCTTACACAAAACCACTGGATGCCTACATTTCATCCCTCAAAAATGTTCCAACATTGTTGTAGCATGCTTCATACTTCACAACATTTGCATAGACAAGTCTATTTTACAGTTGGATGAATTACTAGAAGATGACAATAATGAGAATGATCACGAGCAACCAGATGTTTTCAATGTTTTCAATGATGGTATAAACACACGCGCCTCACTTGTAAGACAAAGATTCAACTAAACATGATACACATAGTGCAAAACCATAATTTTTTATTGTTACCGGTAGTTTAAAAATATTTCACAGAGTGACATTATCTTATTAATCTTCAAATAAAATTAATAGACAGAAGAGTTTTATATCAAGCCAGCTATTACAGATTAATTGTACTTTATATTTATTTGGATAATGGCACAATGGGAGCATATTTTGAAGAAAAAATATTTTATCTTGTTGACTTTTTTTTAAGTCTCCCATAGTAAGCCCAAATTAAAATCTATCCATTGAAGACTATTTCATATCCCATTAAATTTATCAAGATATGACAAACCAGAAAATATACGATTTAGGGGTAGGGATGTCAATCACTTTTAAGATATATGCATTTTCTCATCTTTTCCTTTAGAAATGGTTTGAAAATGACCACTAGGTGATTCATCGGTATAGATTTATCTTTTATTTATATGATAAATAGGAAAATGTTCGTTTAAATGATGTCTATTTAAACACTTAAAAAACTTGTTTATATTTTGTCAATAGTTTAAAATATATATTTCTCTAATTTTTGTGCTATTTTCACATTTCTTGAGCAGTGTGAACAAATATTTCTCCTCACTCGTGAAATATCTGTTATCGTCAAATGATTAGTCGAAATTTGATTATGAAGTCGAGATTTCTTGGTTTCTTCTGAATTTTCCTTTTGTGACGTCATGACAAAACTAATGACATTGCATATATACAACACAACTTTCTTAAAATCTTGGAAAAAGAGGGGAAAATCATTAGAGAAACAGATTCCTACACTATAACTTGTGTATTACGATATTTCACCACTCTCAACAGTTAAATTTAATTAATTAAAAAGCTTTGCAAACCTCACGCTTTAAATAATAAATTTAACTGTCTCGAGTTGAGAAATATCGTAACACATTTGTTGCAATGTAGGAATCTATATTACTATTTTATAATGCTTGTGAAGAGATTGACCCCTTGTGAATTATCATATTATTAGCCTATGTATCTTGTATCTTGGCATGTTGCGGTGCTTTGCTTTTGCACCAATTGGCATTTCATTTGCGCCTCAAACCATATTTCATTTGCGCCAAAAATAAAACCTTTCATTTATGCCAATAATACAGGTGAATACTGGTAAATAGTATAAAAAATTGATTTTATTTCAAAAAAGACTTTTAATGTTAAAGACAATTTTTGTTTGCATAATAAAACATATTCCTCAGAAATCAGTCAGCATAAAACCATACGAGTTATGTTAAAACTTCATTAAAACACAGTTCTGTTACTTTGAACTTTTAAAAAGGAGTAAAATTACGATACAGTTCTAAGCATTTTACACTATAGTAAAATTATGATTCTGTCCATATCAGTTGTTATTCTGGCTTTCAAGTTTTATGGTTTGATTTTTAATATAATGCATACAATAATCTATGTACCGTATGTGTGATCATAAAAAAAAGACTCATTTCCTCTGTTTGTCTCTGAACTGACAATGTCCATCTTTACACCTTTAACATGTGAACACTTTATAATTCTAAACCTCAGATTTGTATTAGAAATGAGTATGAACAATTATCCAGGAGAAATACTGTAGAAACAAATCTTATTCATGATAAAGCAATGAATATTTAACTTTCTCGTTATATGTTACCTGTATCACCTATGAAATGGCGCAAATGAAGTTTTAATATTTTGGCGCAAATGAAATATAACCTAATGACGCAGATGGAAGATTGGATTTTTTAAATAAATGGTGCAAATGCAATGTGCCCAGCATGTTGAACACAAAAATATATGACGTGGAGGGAAAGGGCGGGGGGGGGGGGGTCTAACCGTCCTAAAAATTTTATAAATATTTAAACTTTGACCTAATTAATCACAGATAACTTTTCTGATATAAGTTCTAAAAATTTCAGTTTCTTTTTTTCCAATTCATTGCTTTCTTCCATTAACTCTATTTTTCTTTTTTTCAATTTAATCTTTTCCTCTTCTATCATTAACAGTCTACTGGTGGAATCAGCAACGCATTCCACTGTCTTTCCTAAAAAATAAATAAATGGGATAATATTTATTAAATTATTGATTTAAAAATATTTTACTTCCTACAGTGAAACTTATCATTACATTTTTTTATGTAACAAATTAATAAACATCTAGGCTGAATGTGTTTAGGCCAGCAAAGCAATTACTTTTAATAATGGCAGGGAACAATTGCTGTGGAAATAGTACATATGAAAATTTTGATGTTTTTAATATTATGCAGTTGATTCAATTTTAATGTTTTTCACAATTATTTCTTCTTGCTTTACATTACATTGTTTTTCAAAACAACATTGAGTACTCTCAGGTATATACTAAGTGTATTTTTTGTTGTTAAGGATAAAATGGAATTTAGAATTAAATTATAAGGAATGACTGTAACATTTTTTCTGTCTACTAGAAAAACATCACAAATGTTATGCACACTTTTAAATAACCAGCTATGCTGTATTCCATGTGCACATTGTAGATGTTATTTCTTCATTAGCAGAAAAAATGTAACAGTCAATCCTTAAAAAGACGACTATACAATATGGGTTTTTATTTCATTGTTGAAGGCTGTAAGTTTGCCTATTATAGCTTACATCCCCTTTATCTAAACTGTGGTGGATAGTTGTGTCATTCCCAATCTCCTTATTTTTATACTTGTCATTATGTTTATATAATTCCTGTTTCTGCATTGCCTTAAAAATTATACTATTAATTCAATATTTCCTAAAAAATATAAAAAAAAATGATATAAAAATTTCACTGAAAAAGATACCATTAACATTCTGAATTTAGAATAAAGCTCATATACTGCTGATTATATACTATACATACTAGTCCTATTCTTTGATGGTGGTGATGTTCCTTCTTTGCTTCTGCTGTCATTTCCACAAAGAGTAACTTCATTTTCATTAACTGAAAATTAAAAATAAAAACCAATGAAACAATGTTTAAGCCTCCATATTATATAATATATTCATAAGCTACTTAATCGCAAACATGTACATGTGCACATATAATATCAGATTATTACATGGCATTTTTCATATAAGATGTATTATCAGCCCAAGGTTCAATATCAGCCCAAGAGCCGAAGGCTCGAGGGCTGATATTGACCGAGGGCTGATAATACATCTGATATGAAAAATGACATGTTATGATCTTTTTATCATATGCTTCAACAATAGGGAAAAATAACAGTTTAATATATTGATCCTTTTTAGTGGTTCTCACGTAGAAGTTCAAAAAGTGAAAAGTTTACGGACGTAGGACGCCAAATTTAGTACATTCGATATGAAATCTTTCTAACATATGCCTGAACAGAGGGAAAAAAAAACAACAGCATGATATATCTTTATATTGACGATAAAAAAAATCAACAAAACATAATGAACACTGTTTTGAAAATTTTGTAAAAAAATTTGTAAAGTAACTTTCTAAATTATGCTGGAAACATTTAAAAATGCATTTATTTGAACATTTTTTTCTTTTTATTTTGCATATTATATTATCCTGTATCGTAATAACTGTTTGTACCCTACTTTAATTGTAATGTTTTTCACTTAAAACGTACCATTGAGGTGTATTTTCCGGAATTTGCCAAGTATCGCCGGAATGCCATGCGATAACGTTACGGAAAGGCATGTGATAATAATCGAAGCATGTGATAAATTTTTCATATCAGCCCGCTAAACATCATTTCGAAAAAATATGGAATTCACGTAAATTCAATGCTGTTATCATACTGTAAAAATTATATGTTATTTGCTATAAGTATATGATAAAGTTACATATCATAATAACTAGTATGAAGATTATGTATTAATTGAATATTTCCTGTCTCTAAGGACACTGAAATTTTTATTTTTTTTAAAAATGTAATCCTGAACAATAACAAAACATTGTGCACCCAAACATGCGACTATAAAACCAATAGTCCAAGCCCAAACTAATAACAAATTTTGGGATTTTTTTTCTAAATTAAAACAAAAAAAAAAGACAACTCTTAAATATATAAAAGAAATGTAGAAAGGCTTTATGACACAGATACATTTTGATCTTTTAAATTTAATGAGGTATTTAGAATTTTTGTTTTAAGTAGGAAAGTATATATGTATGAATTACTTATGTTTCCTTTCCTGTTGACATGTTTATCAATATTTCAACCGTGTCATCTGCACTTCCAGTTGGGTCTGTATTTTCATCTATTAAAATAATCGAATACATGATAAACTACTACAATAAATTTAATTTGTTTGTTTTAGCTGGTTTCCGTTCATGTTTTTTTTTTAAATACGTAAACATTTCAGTGACTTCTCACTAATTCATGAATGATCTTCTTTAACTTTAACATAGACTTATTTTTCTAGTAAGGATTTGACTATACCGTAAGTTATTTTTTATACGAAAGTGTTTTTATTTTGTATCAACACTGTTTTTATATGTTTTTTAAACAACAAAAAAGTTTTCTGATAAAGCAGGTCTCTTAAATTGTACAGGACTTAATAAACCCTAGATAAAATTTAAGTCAGATATGTTATCTTCTATTCAGCAGTGCAATTGTATAAGTTCATGTTCATACTTACTCTCAGAAACAGTTAAATCTGGCATCTGTACAGAGGACACTAATGCTATCAATGAAAAACAAAAAGATATGCTTATCAGAATTAAGAAAATAAACTTGGGTCTATATATTGTACATGAAGGTATTCATTATTTAAACGAATTGTATTACTTATTACATATATTCATACTGTAATGAAATGCCATTGTATTAATAGTTTAAAAATACCCTTTTTTATGAGTGTTACAAAAAATCAGAAGTCATTTAATTTAAACTGTTCAAGTTATCTTTCATACCTTCAATATAAATTTTACACCTTGTATTGTTGGGTTTCTGTCTCATTTATTAATACCCTGTTTTAATATTCTCACTACACAACATACAATGTATATAAGCTATATAAAGAATTAAAAGTGCTATTGAAGCTGAACATAACATTGTGTATTTGACTAACTTTGTGTAGAGCTTAATTATGTTTCCTGACTTAGACAGCACTATTGCTATTAACAACTCACAAAAAAATATTAACCTAGGTATTATAAGGCCAAATAAAAAAATATTTGTGTTTCCTTTTTCCCTACCTACCCTATATTTTAAGCTTAGAAATAGCCTACCTTAACGGTTTTTTGGTCATTATTCAATAAGCACAGTTAATGTCAGAATTTCACTCCCAAAAACTCAATGTAAATACAATCGTAAAATAAAAAAATTCCCTACCTACCTACCTACCCTTTTTTTCAAAGATGTAATAGGAAAGGGGTTCAACGATGTAATAGGAAAGGCACATATTATTTTATTTGGCCTAAGTAAATTCAATATAGATTCATATAACATGTTTAACTTACCACTGTCGGTGTCAATACCACCAGTAATTCCATAGCAGGCAACTCTGGGAATGATAGAAATAACCTGTAAATAAATGTATATATATATATTGAAAAGTTTTTAAAATTTGTCCACGCTGTGCATAAAATAGGGAAAAAAAATAATGCTGGAAATGCACCAAATATTTATATTCAATATGAATATTCACATTTTGTCTATTACAATATAAAATTGTTCATAATGTTCTCCATAGTATCCTATATATATATATATTCATTTATCTAATTTCTATTGTCAATCTTTTATTACTATATTCAATTCAATTGGTATACACTTTATATCTGTATTTCATGATGTTTAATAAATGATTCATAACAATGTGAGATGCAACTTGTTCAAATTGATTTGAAAGTTAGCTAGAGATATTATACTGTAATGCGTCTTCTTTTTAATATATACTGTAATATCATATCTGTTATAAACATGGTAAATTCATCAGTTTTACTTTTTAAATAGCTGGTACAACATGTTATATATAATTCTAAAGTCTTAGAATCCATCGCAATATTATTCTCATGAGCACTAAAATCACACAAAATTGAAATGATATAATAGTACATGATATATCTAAGGATTGAATTTACCATTTGTGATTATTACTTATTGAAATTTTCAATGTTAATAAAATTCTGTTCCATTCTTTTATATTGATAACAATATTGTTTGAACTACAACAATAATTAAAACAACAAAATAATTCAATCAATTAACCTTTGACTCAAGCGGTGTTAAAGCAGGTGGTGCTCGTCCACCACCTGTCAGATTCTGGAGCTTGAATCTTTCTGCCTCCTTTTTCTTTGATTTGAGTTGCAAATCCGCCCATTTGTGTTTCACCTCTGGTTTAGTTCTTACAACAGAACTAATTGAATTGACTCTATTTAGATGAGAGAAAAAAAAAAAGAGCTGTAACTTCCATATATTTGATGAAAATGTATTTGGTTATAACAAATATTTCTTGATTAAGAGTAACATATAGGTTTACACCAAATTGAAATTGGATATCCTGCATTTATCATGCTTTTAGTTATATATGGTTAAATTCGTGAAACACACCCTCCTAATCAGCTAATTATTGAAAAGTATTAACCTGTATTAATAATAATATCTCTTGGTGTAAATGAGTAACATCAATTCAGGCTTACACTCTCAAGGTGTATTTAAAACATATATGAGATGCGTCTGGTAGAAATTGACCTTTTGCAAGTTAACGTGAATATGTACATGTATAATACTCTGATATATTTTGAAGCATTCATAAATAAAGTTCAATGAAATAAAAGATGAAGTTTTGTCCATTTTGTAGCATTCAATGAACAATTCAACTTGCAAGTTACACAGTCCCAAACTTTCCATTGGCATAATATTGAAAATTTTTGTTCTCAAAACATAAATACATGATTTGCATATGGTCGATTTCTATCCGGCACATCTCATATCATGATCATGTACACTGGTACATGAACATACATATACCATATAATATTGTATAAATTGATTTTACATTACCTACTTCAAAGAGATAATGTCACGGTACCCAAATTGCACTGAGTACCCAAATTGCACAGAGTACCCAAATTGCACCTATTGAACATAAACAGCTGAGAAATTCTTAAAAGTTTTCTTTGAGACTAAACAATTTGTATTTGGATTATTTGATATTATACACGTCTTACAAAACAGGTGAAAATATTCAAATATACACTAAACGTTCACAATTAATATCAACAGATGAAGATTTCACTGAAAAAGAAAAATGTACGAAAACGCCGCCATGCGACGTTCACAAAAAGTCATCTTTTAAAAATGAACAATGTTACAAACATCCATTTAAAAAAAAAATGATTTGTGAGCTTGTACTAATGTCAAATTGTTCTAAATATTTGAAAAAATAAATCAAATCATCTGTTATTCGATTTTTAATGATGTGAATTTAAGCAAAGATGTAATTTGGGTACTCATCATTACGGAATCATGGATAGTTTGGAGGTCGATTCAAACCAATTTTTCTATGATTCAATAAGGATTAAAATCATTTTGAAAATCAAATTGGTGTACCTATATGATAAAGAAGGATACGGCTACAAAATAAGCACAGAATGGAATTTTTTAGCATATCTTCATTTACCAACAAACCAAGTTAAATTGGTATACTATAGACATAGTAATGATAGTACTACTTATACAAGCGATAAAGATAGGAGTACAACTGTACAAAAGTTATAGATGTGTTCACAATCTTCAGGAGAACCTGAGATCACCCCGTTTTTGTTGGGGTTCGTGTTGCTGATTCTTAGGTTTTATATGTTGGTTTTTATCTGACATTACTATAGACAAGTGAACTGTTGTTTTGTCTGTTTGTCTTTTTAAGACTTTTCTTTTCTAGCTATGATTTGGGTTGCCGTTTGCAGGGTTTATTTTTTCGACTTATGAGTGCATGCGAATGACCGTTTGGTATCCCTCGCCTCGTTTTACGTGACACATCAACTGGGACTATTATACTAATGTAATCTCAACAGATCGATCAGTTTCCAGTCCCGTTAGTATAATCATAGATGTATAAACCCATAGACATAGTGGGTTTATACATCTATGGTATAATAGTCCCAGACATCAACCACTATCTGAATAAAGTTTCCACTGCTACTGTAGTACTAATCATGTAATGTGAGCCTAAGTGTCGAGGTAGATTAGGTCAATAACATTGTGTTTGAAGAAAGTGTAAACAGCAAAAACAGGAAGCTATTGTGCATATTTAAAAGACATATCAAAAGCGGTCCTTCCCGTTTCCGAGATTGTAGGATAATGAAAAACATTGACATATTATTTAGAGGACTTTAGATATATCTGGGGCACAGGCACTTGACTGATTTTGTTTTACAAATTTAGTGTTTACATTCATCTGACAAATTATTAAAAGATCAATCTTTGTTATACTCATTTGTTTGTTTTTAATTCAATTTGTGTCTATTTAAAATATCGGTGTGTTAATATACTTCTGAACAATACTTGACCATATTGCCTTCTTTTTATGAAGGTCTAAATTTTAGAGAGAGTGCTCCAAAAAAGAAGAGAATAGTTCTCTTGCACTCCCTCCACAATGATATCCACCTCCTCACTCGAAAAGTGAGGTTTTCTTGGACTTTTAATTTTATGTATTTCCATTGTCAGATAGTGTTGTACGTATTTTCGTCTGCTAAATTCTATGTTACATACCTCCAATGAAAAAGAGTGCTGTTTTCGGGGATTCCCGTGCTATAAATAAATAGCGATTGTCTAGCGATCGAAAATTCTAACGATTCTTCTGCGTATGCTTTATGAAACGCACGTAGACGTCATCGTTATGTAGTCGTTAGTTACACGCTAAAATTAACGGTAATCGTTATTAGCGATTGTTTTATGAAACGGCAGCCTGGTTTTGTGTTTAATCTTCAATTATTACAATTTTGCAATAATATCAACATTTTTAATTGTTTACGCTGTACGTTGATATTCTTATTGATCAATTAATTTAAAATTCAGTATTTCATTAAACAGTGCTTTTTTCTAGTAAAAATGAAATCGTAGATATAAAATTCTTGTTTAAGGTTAGGGAACATTTTACTTTGCGAAAGAACCACACTGATTCCACAAAACGTTCTTATCGGCTACATACATGTATGTGTTGCGTTCGATGTGTCAACACCCAGTCTGTTTTACAGGATGTTGCTGATTGTGCATTCCACCGTTTGACTTGATTTTGTTATCATATGAGGCTGATCTCAAAAATTACATTTTCAACTACACAAAAAAACATCCCTCAAAATGTTCTTTTCATATTTATTGTTTATGTCCTGTCACTCAATATCCATTAGTGATTGCTTGCATCTCATATATCCCATGTAACTTAAATCTAAGGATGCAATGGAAACTATAGGTTTGTTTCTTGTTTGCTTATGAGCTGTAAAATTTCAAACTCCTTCTGGTCTAAGACATAAATGTATTGCATCTCATATATCCAAGGGAAGCTAAGGATACTATGGAAACTAAATAAGTCTGCTACGTGTTTGCTACTGAGCTGCTATATATTAAACTCCCTCTGGTCTAAGATTAATTTGGCTATTATGTCGATCCCCTTTGGTCGTAACACCTCACGTATCCAATTACTTATACATTCTAAGCTTTCAATGTTTGTGTTTAGGCGTTTAAGATTTAGGCAAATTTAGAAAAGCGATTCTGACACACTTATTGTTGCGACCCATACGGATACATAATTGTTCTATTAACAAATCGTAAATGTTTGCATAAATTTTACATCAATTCATTTAACGGGACAGGGAATGAGAAAGATAACTTTCCATAAGTAACTTCAGAGAGAATTGACAACAGAGTCCTTCCATTTTAAGGAAGAATTTAAACGGATAAAGGTTTTATCCGAGGTCACTCCCATTTTTTGATGGGGTTCGTGTTGCTCAGTCTTTAGTTGTGTATGTTGTGTTTTGTGCACTGTTGTTTGTGTGTTGGTGGGTTTCTTTTTAGGCCATGGCGTTGTCAGTTTATTTTCGACTTATGAGTTTGAATGTCCCTTTGGTATTTTTCGTATCTCTTTTACTTTATAGACAATATTATCAATTTAGAACATCCCGTACGCGGATCCTCAAATGTAAATAACAGGGTGAGACTATTACTCAATAGTTTTGCCATGAGTAACTCGGACTTTAGTATAGCAGGAACTTTTTTTCATTCAGCTTTAACCCTGTTTCCAGTATGGTGAGTATTTCCTTTTCATTCATTTGCTCAGTAGTACTTTGTGTGTCTCTCTCTCGTTTTGGTAATGGTGTTGTTTGTTTGGGTTTACCTTTATAGTTTTCAATTTCAATCTTGGTATCTTTCCAACACTTTAGACTTTCTTTACGTTCTTGATTTTAATCATAACACCATTCTTACCTGTATTGTAGTATATGCAATTCTGTAATTGAAGATTTGTCAGGATATCTAAGGTTTAGTATCCACTGCTCTTTTGTTTTCCTTCTATCTAAACAATCTTTACACATTGATTCAAACTGTCTGATTGCGAGTCCGAAAACGTCATTCGAGATAACAATCCCTCCGTCGATTGTCTGGTTAATCGATGGTGTTTACCTGCGCTTGCCATGGTAAGGAAAGCTTTCAATACCGTATTTTTGCAAGTACATAAGTTTTCTTATTCCATATACATTTTCATTTCCGTCATTAAGACTGTTTCTGGGATTTGTGTTCATGATGAATCTAAAAATATAAATTATTAAAAACGCTCATTATGACCAGAAGTTATTAAGTAGTCTTTTTTTAAAGTTTAACATCACTGTTCGATATTTATTGTCGCAGTCTCTAAACCGGGAACTTGGCAAACCACAGATTGGCTTAATTCACAACTTTCCTCCATAACAGTTTACATTAAAAATCAAACATTAGATACAACGAGCAAAATGGTTTTTTTTTATTTCTTTAGATATTTCAAATCTGATGAAAATCCGACGTTATGCCATGCGTGTCATAGCATCAGATTTAGATAAGATCGAAATCTTTCGATACAAAAATAGTCGTTTGATCGGTTGATTCACCGATTTTTTTGCTTTTCCTGAATGCGATATTTTCCTCAGGTTGGGTTTGCACTGCGGGTGATGCATTTATAAGAGTGGTTGCATTCAGTGTTTCACGTAAATGTAAGTTCATAAGTTTAAGAAGTTTATCGTATTATTCGATTTACATAATTTGAAAGTACGATAACTACTATTGTCTCTAATTTAAGCAATACGGGTAAAACGTTAAAAAAATATCTTTTAACTATTCCTATCAATTGTGTATGCCTCATGTTGCATATTAAAATACACACTTTATTTAATAAATGTTTTTTTTTAATTGTTATTAACCTATATTGGCCATGTGCAAAGACAAACATTTGAAAACCAAGAATGTTACTGGTGTTTTCTAAA